GAGAGAGAGAGAGAGAGAGAGAGAGAGAGAGAGAGAGAGAGAGAGAGGCGACAGCGTCCCGATCATGAGCTGCAGCGCAGGCATTCACAGACGAAGACAGGGAAAATCCACACTGTTAAGAACTCCGAGATCTCGGAATTTCTTCTTTTGTGTGTGTGGGGGGGGGAGAAGTGGGGGAGAGGAGGGGAACTCAAGGTCACTTCAAGGCATTTCGGTGGGAAGAGATGCAACCCCATCACCGTTAGATCTGTCCGCAATCCGGCCACGAGATCGCGCCAAGCCGATCTCACAAAGAAAGGGGGGGAAAAAAAAAAAAGAGAAGAAGAAGAAGATTAGAAGATCGCGCCAAGCCGAAACGCAAAAAGTCAAAGTCAGCTCAACGAGTACGTGTATAGAGAGAGTAGTGGTGTTCGTTCCCGGTGCGCCAAGTCCCTCTACCGTCCTTCCCCCAATTAGAACACACGGTCATTTTCTTTTTTTTTTTTTTCCTTTTTTTCCTTCTTTTTTTTCCCTCTACCGTCTTCCCCCCAATTAGAACACACGGTCTTTTTTTTTTTTTTCCTCTTTTTTTTTTTCCGCCTTCTCTAGACCGAAAGTCGAGCACAAATGATACAGTTATAATGACCGTGCCTTGTGTACGAGGTAAGATGATGGCGGCGGACTCGAGAGCAGACTTCGAGTTTTCGACTGGTTGTGGTTCAGGGCTGTGGGATCTGAAATTTATTTTCTTTCTTCAAATCTTGGGGCGATACTTTGCTTTGGCCACGTGGGGAAAAGGCCACGTGGCGCCTCGATCCATTACTTGCCACATGCACAAAAAGACAAAAAATATGCCTGTGTATCTCTCCACGTTCATCTGGAAGATTCGATCTCATTTTGCACGTACGGTGAGTAGTGGAGCGAGGCCCATGCAAAGCTAATCGATCTAGCTGCTCTGCAAGTGGGACTCGGTCTTCCCGGAGGTCCCCCCCCTCCTCCACCCCTCCTCCGGGGCCCTCCGGGGCCCTCCGGGGAAAGAAAAGGAGAAGCATGGAAGAGCTTTAACTCTCTTTCCCGAATATGTGAATGGCTGTCTCTTATACACATCTAGATGTGTATAAGAGACAGGATAGAGAGAGAGAGAGAGAGAGAGAGAGAGACAGACAGACAGAGAGAGAGAGAGAGAGAGAGAGAGAGAGAGAGAGAGAGAGAGAGAGAGAGAGAGCAAAGTGCCACGTGGCACGACGCGGGGAAGCAGAGGGAGAGGGACCCGCCTCACCGAATTTTTGTTTTTTTTTTGCCAAATCAGGGGTGAACCACACGGACCCCTCTATTTCATGACCTCAATCACCCACTCTGACATCCTAAATCATCCAAAATGATCCTCAAGCATCCCAAATTTTCACAATTATCAATCATCAATGTCTTCCCATTATAAGGGACGCTGGGCCCGGTTCCCAGCACGTGATGCTCCCCACAAATAGATTGGAGGAATTAAAAAAAAAAAAAAAAAAAA